AACCACTGAATTGGTCACAGCTTGGCAATAATGGCCATCACACAGGGAGCGAAGAATCTCATTTGTGGAGGGGCGGGTTAAAACATGATGCAGATGTGCTCTTGTCACTATCAGCTCTCATTAAAGCCGGGTTGCTTTACGTTGTCTTTCAATGAATGTTTTGTCAAAAGGAAAAAAAAGAAGCTCCAATTAAGGTATGTGTCCTGAGTGTAACTGAGTGGAGAAAGAAGCCATTGGGCACCCCAGTCAAAATACTTTTCTGTTGATCACAGCAAGACTCAACTCATGACTTACAATCCTGTGCGGCTTCCAAGAATACAGGGAAATCGGATGACAGACGGATAAAATATGCAGCAACCCAAAAGGAACGAGGGAATTTTAAGCTGAAAATGTTGCCAATGCTGTTGTGCAACTTCTTGTCTCTTCTTTGGAGTAACATTTTGAGATGATCCTCCCGATTGCAGACATTGGGTAGTTTCTGCAAGACTGGAGTACAACAAATGTGGATTTTTCACACACATACCAGTGAGCTGCACTTATAGAAATACCTGAATAAAGTTGTGGCCAAGACTGTGCATCTATCAGTTAACAAATCTGGTTAATTAATACATCCAGGGACAAACGTTGGTTGATCTATTCCTTGAGGCCACCTTAAATTCAACAGCATCAAAAACTAATAAAGGGAAATTTTTCATTGTGTTCTTTAGAAAAGCCATTCAGACGTTTATTATGCAGGACAGGAGGGAACATAGGGAGATTGGGTAAGAGGATATACTGTGACTCAAGAGGTGGACAGTAATCAGAGGTCAGCAAGACATTGTTTGAGAAGCTGAAGCCCTAAAATCAGCTGAATATGAAATGTTTACAATTCACTCAATATTTTACTTTAATAGGGTGAAAGTAAGAGATAAGCAAAGTTGAGGCCGCACAAGGGTGTGAGATACTAAAGGAGAGCTGCCTGCAGAGTTTAAGGTGGAGTAGTACTATGTGCATCTCACTGCTTATTTTTTGTTGGGGTAAAAAAGGCAACAGAGAGAAATCCAGGAAATAGAAAAGAGGAGGAAGAGAGATTTTCTCCACTGGACTCTGAATTCTGGGGCACGCAGACCCAGGAGTGAGTCAATCTGGTCAGTCTGAGGGGGGCAGCTGGGCGGGGGGTCCTGGGAGGGCTGATTAGACGGATGCTCTCCCATCATCCATCTCGACAGGATGGTGAAAATTGGCTAGCCCCTCGCAGTGTAGAGTTCATGGGGGGAGGATGCGGAGTGGTGCACTGGATACCTGTCACAGCCTTTGGTCTGTTTCAGGATCCCAGCTGCAAATTAATAAAATATCTTCCCTGCTTTCCTTTACCTGCCATGGCAGCTCTCTGTTTCCTTGCTGTTTCCTCTCCCCAACTTGCACCAGCCCTTTGACCCTTCCAACTACTGTGAGATATGAGGGTTCTCAGGTAGCCAGCAAGTGGGCCAGCGAGTCAGAGAGGATCAGGAAGAGACTCCAAACTCAGGCCCAAGCAAAGACAGGATTCTCTTACTGCTTGAAGAAACTTTCTGTTCAGAGAGACTGACAAAAAAGCAGCCATATCAAGTAGATGTCTTGAGGGGTAATGGTTGGGAAATGTTTTAAAGTTTTAACCTTGCATGTATATTTAAAGGAAAAGTCCGGTCAGCAAGGAATAATCAATGGATCATTATTTATACATAAAATGTATACATTTGCAGTGATTTAATGAATTTAGCGTTAATCATTAAAAATATAATAATATTTTTCGTTGTGATCACTGAGTCCAGTACCAGCCAAATGTAGTAACACCTCACTCCTGACATCTTCCAGCAATGTCGTCACAGTGTAATAAGCCTAGCATCATTCTCCACGCTATACAAGCAAAATCAATGGGAACTACTTATCAACAACAATTATATAAGATTTCCAGAGGACTTCACCATTGAAATTCGAGAGAGCTATAGTTAAACTGACAATGCCCAGGTGCATGGCAGTTGGATGTTGTAATACATTGGGTAAAAGTGAAAATAATTTTGTTATTTCACCTTTCCGATTCATGTTTCACCACGGATGGGTCAGTCGTTGGATTGCTGACTTGAAGAGGGGGGATTTGCCATCAAACTTCTGGCCAGAGAAAAAACATGTAATATGTAGGCAACATTTCAAAGAAGAATGTTTTCAAGAGGATTTGGACAATAGCTCGTAGTGACAAACACCAGATACAGCAATGGGACTTGCTTAACAGCCGATACCGCAAAGTGACGTCACAAACCGGTAGGTGGCAGTAGTTTTTTGACAAACATGAATGTCTTTATTAATTTACTCTTAATTAAAAACACTTATAAATTTTGGAATAGCATGTAATAATTTTATATTTAAAGTATTTTCAGAAGTTTGAAATCTGAATATGACCAGACTTCTCCTTTAGTCCATAAAAAAGTCATAAACTCAGAAAAAAGAGCATTTGTACTGCCTCACAAAGCTAATTATACTCCATTAAATGTTTCATGTTTTGTCAAGTTACAACAAGTAGTGGTTGTAAGTTGGAAAAAATATAAATCCATTACTTTACAGTTTCTCCACATCATCATGCTTCCACAATCGCCATGGGAATCCTATCGATTTGACAAAATTCCTCCATGTTTACGTAACTAATTTGTTACCTATTATCTACTCTTCTTTGTTTGAATAATTTAAACCTTTTCTAACATTCCTCATAAAAAATTTAGTAATAAAAGTGTGTTCAATTCTTGGTAATATCTTATTAGGTCAATACTCAATGCTGCACTGTTTGCATTGTACAGGGAATTACAAAGTTGTATCAAGACATCCCTAATCAGAGACTTTCTTTGCAATACTCACTGAGTAATTCTACGGCTTTAAGCTAGACTTCTAATGGTTTTATTCTTTCCAAAATCAGAAAAGGTTTAAAACCTGATCATATATGTTGAGTAATTGTTGCAAACAGAGTAATTTCCCCAAAATATAGACCCTTAATGCATGTCCAGAAAAGCACCGTGCTTTCTTTCTGGCCTGTTAGATCAGGTGAGTGGACATATTTTGGCAGCTTTTCAGTAATAAAATGGAATATGATTAGAAAGTTGCCATTGGGATATTTGATCCTTTGAAAGTTCTGTAAACAAAGCCCGTTTTAAACTTAATAAAATCCATGTATTGTTTTCTTTCATTTTCTTAAATTACAAAACCTCTGACTCAAAACTTCTGTATACTGAGTCTAAATTGCATAAAGGTGGACTCTATTCGCTCCATGGATAATGAGGAGAAACCTGTGTTTTTTTGGACTGGGTTTCATTAAGGGGTATCAGATTATAGTCAGTTGAATACAAATAAATATCATTCATTTGCCAGAATTGTATTTGCAAAAATAATTTCCAAAATTGTATACATGTTTCCACTTCAAAGTAATCCCAATATTTTGGGTTGCTATATCAAATATAAATCAAAAAGAAATATTTAGAAATGTGTGCTTATAACATGAGAGAAAAGAACAAAGGTTCTGACATTGTTTTAATGTTAACGCAAAAACTCTGAAAGGGCATCGTGTGACACATTTAATTTCCTTTAACTCTTAGCATTTATAAGAAACAACACATGTATATATATGAAGAGCACATGTGTTTGAGATCATGTCATCATGCACTCACATGGGACTGTCAGTAGAGCACAGAACAGGTTGAGGATAATGATTGTCTTGTCCCCCAAGCTCATTCTTGCTCTCCTTTCATAACCTCCTGTTTCACAGCAGAATGCTATAGGTCTTTCATGTACTGCACTTGTCTTTTCACACGCAGTAAAACAATATAATCATGCATGAAACATCACCTCCGGGAGGTGGAGATCACTTCATTCCTGAAAATGTCAAAGATAAAAAAAGTAGGAAAACATCCCCAGGTTATTTGAAATTGTTTACAGGTATCTCTTGCAAGCCGTACCATATAGAAAACACTTGTACCAGTGAGAAATTAAAATGTGACAAATTAAGGGAGCTTGATGTGAACGGAAGCATTGGAGTTACTGCTTTTGAGGCTTTTCATGTAAACTTTTTTTGCTGCAGAGTTCCGTGCTGGCGAATCAGGACTTGTTTTATTCATGTTCCCGCTGCTGGAATGGCCAGCAGATAATGATCACATTCACCTTCCTCCTGGCAGACGCACGCCTCTGTGTTTACAACCTGAATCTTAATATGAAAATCACTCCCAATCAATGGCCACTTCCTCTGGCTACAAGCTACCTCACAACACCGTATAATCCAAGATCCAGGTCAATGCAAAAGGAGGAGCTGTTTGCTACTTTTACTGCATTAAAGTAAATAAAATGTACTTTTTTCTAGCATTTTCTTAGCACTGCAATTATAGGCTTACTTATAGTTTAGCGTTTCGGCTTCAAAAAGGTAATAGAAAGAGATCTGGATATGAGAAGTGTGCCGTGTGTACGATAGAGAATCCCCCAAACAAAACAGAGCGGCTCGAAAACACCACCACAGTGAAATAATATAATAAGGTCTGCTTCATTTTTTCAGATTCTCCAAGGAGCAGAGGAAAAGATTGCTAGAAAATGGATTATCTCTCTAACATTGCGAGTTCATAAGTCCAACTAGTAACTTTGTTGAAGGGCAGATATGGACTCCCTATGGACAGAGCTCATATTTAGCCACGAGGCCTCCTTTGTGATTAGGAGAGGAGATGCAGGCATATTGACTCAGCCGTGTTTTTGCCTCTGCACTGTATGTAATTACCTCTTCAAAAATGAGTATTCTGCTAATCCTCTAATTCCAGATATTTTAGCGCTCGGCTGGTCTAATAAGCAAATCAAATCATATCTGCACATCACAAATGAGTTTTGGAAACAGCCTGAAATAATTCCTTCTGAGTCGCCTGTCCCAGCCGGGATGGAGAGAGATAGTAGAATCCCTATGTTCAGTGTTTGTCAACCTCATGGTCATTCTGTGCTGGATATACCTGGACTTGAATTCTTACCTGTAACTCTGTCTGAAAGAAGAACTTCTGCGGGCACTGCGAGCAGTCGTAGATCTTATCCTCCTGGCCGTGGGCAGAAAAAATGTGCTGCTGCAGCTTGTTGGCTTGGACAAATACTGCACATAGAGAAAACAGAAAAAACAATTAAGATTTAAAGTGAATTTTCACTTTAATGCTAAATCTAAATAGATTTCTACTGCCTGCTTTAAGGCAGTAAAGTGAACAAAAAAATCCTTAATTAGAAATTAACAACTGTCAACACAAATAAACATATTATACGGTGTCGTCCATGTTTGATGACACAAACCTGGTGATGATTGGAGGAAAGTTTAATTGTATATTCATATTTATCTAATATCCATATTTTCCGCAGTATAATCTGAGACTGAAAAAAACCCTTCCTATTTAGGTTAATTCATTTAGTAAAAGAAAAACTACATCTTTAAGAAATAAAGCAGTAGTTAAAAGGTGATTGTCAACTATTAGAGCTACTGGTACTGTCGCTGCCAAACTTTATATATAGAAGAGCCATTTTTTTTTCTACAGAAGGAGGTATTTAAGAGAAAGAGGAACTTATTAACATTCGTATTATCGGGGTCTTTTATCTGTGCTTTAGTCCATCTCATATGTTTACAATAGTGCATGGCTGTGGGGCTTATGAAGAGGGTTGATTACCTTTCTGGTGAATCATTTCTGTAGTTATTTGGCCATATGCTCTGAATCATTATCCTGCTTTAAGACACAGTAATTACCCACTTTTAGTTTACTGTTAAAGTTCACCTTGTTTTTCTTTAAAGTCTTCTAAACATGAACTGCATCAAGTTGACCAGATCAGGAAGAGAGAGAGGCCTGCAGCGTTTTAGAATCTCAATGTATGTGGTGTTTTTTTTCACTAAAAGGTGACCATCATGATGTCTCATTAATGCATCATAGAGATAAAAGTGTTGATAAAGTTATCTAAAAAAATCCTGTGGTGTTCTATGTGATTTAAAATAAATGAAAATGTTGTTACGAGATGTAAATGGAACAAAAAGCACTCAAAGCACAAATACTAATCTAAAATATATATATTTACCAATATGAAATAGGCCACCTCAAATACAAAAATGATAAAGATAAATACAAAGAAAAAATGACCATGCCTATTTTCCGCTGATTAGTTTTTCCACATTAAGCCCATCTGTAGTCCTTGTTGCAGAAAAGATACACCTGAAAGACCTGAGCCCAACTTGAGTATAAGTCTGAGCAGAGCTTACACTAGCTTACATCAACCACAAAGAAAAATTTTAACAAAGAAAAGCATTGTTCCTTACAGTTTCCCAAACAAGCATTTGCCATCTGGCTAACAGCAGCTAACAGCTTTTATAGAAACTCTGTGACCCCACATCTCTATAAACAAAATAAAGTAAAAGTGAGACTTTGTGATCGTTTTACCTCCTGTACCCTAAGAGTGCTTGATGGCAAAATAAAAATGGGTTCTTGTCTTGCCTTGTGTCCAGTGGCTGAAAAAAATAGGTTGCTGTGCCAGTTTATATGCATACACCAGGGAAATAGAATGTCCTGGTAAGTAAAGTATACATTAAAAATAATGCTTCAGTTACATCTACTTTCAAACAATTGTTAGGGATGCAAGTACAACCAGTTATAATTAAAGAAAAGGTCATTTCCAACTGGGTGACTTTTTACTGATGAATAGCCGCTAGATTAAAGCATTTTTTTTTTGTGTGTGAAATTTACATTAAAATCTGAAGCAATTCAAAGGCCTTTTCCTTATCTTTACAAGGAAGGTAGATAAAAATGGCTGGTTTTGTTCATTGGTTAAGCTAAAAACAGTCTATATATAAAAAGCAAGTAGAACGGTCATACTTCTGGTGCAAGAGCTGGTAAATTTATGAAGTTTGGGGAATAATGATGCTCTTTATTTAGCACTGCTGTGGGGACAACAAGCCAGGAAATAAACAACCACAAAAACTGGCATGGCTTCAAGTGCAAAACATGGCCTCCATTAGTCTACATCACTAATTATATTGACAGTATAAATATTCATGGTGTTCCACTACATATTCATGCAGACGCGGATTATAACTCACCATCATATAAACACACAACTCGCAGGAGCTTAAAACACATACCATACATTTGTGCTTTAATTAAGCCACGGTCAACACTAAAAAAACGAAGTGGGGATGTGACTGTGTGCGTCCTGAGCAACTTGTGGTGGTGCACCCTCCAAGGAGCACTTCAAACACAGCGTTTGTTATCCTGTACCCCTGTGCTTTAAAGATGGTGGTCTAATCTCAAAGGTCTGGATGCTGTGGAAAAGTTTGCTCATGGGGGACTCATTTGAATTTCTTACAGCTCAAAATAACTCCTCTTTTAATGGAAGCACCGTGGGCCACAAAAGAAGAAAAGCAACAGCTACAAAAGGTGAGGCCTCTGTAAGAGAAAAGGCTTACGGGTTGCTTTGGCCCTGTGCCTCGCCTCTGCAACTTCAACATATAAGTATTTGGATTCACCTGGGAGAGCGATTATTAATTATTGAGCGGTGTAATGTTGAGAAACATTCGGCTTCCGTGAATGTCACACTCCCTGACCTGGGAAATAAAAGTTTAGATCCATAGCAGACACGCTGTGGGAACGCTGTCAGACTGCTAATGCTTAGGTGGCAGCTGTCTGTGGAACACAGCAGCAATGTTAACCAGAAATGAACAAACCTCCTCTAATGAACAAACAGCGACTCTATGGCTCTTTTCTTAGATTAACGACCAGGGCAATATGAGGATAAACATAACTGCCTGTTTTACGGTCGGTGACAAAACATTTTGGCTCCAGGTTAAGACCTCTGCTATAACGCCTATTAAGGCTTTCCCTTCCCCTAAAAAATAAAACATTTTTTCTGTGGAATCCGTGCTTCGGAAGCAGAAATTGTGGTGATAAACAATGGCCTTTTCCTTCAGCTGCATTTTGTCTGCATATACAGTACAGAAGCAGGTCAGAGCAGCTGCAGGAAGCCTTCATTATGTCTTTGGCTGGAGGAAGAAAAAGTCAATACAGCAAAAATAAAAATGGATTTGAGACTTGGGGGGCCTTCAAATACTGTACAGCAGGGCCAAACACAACTGAGATGTCAAGTTAGATGTTACTTGCTGTTAACATGCAGTTCTGCTCCAATGAGGCACTTATTTATAATCAGTTTTGCATTTATCAGTTGTAGGTCGTCCTTCATTTTATATGCAGAAGGGGGAGGGAGGGCTTAAATGCTTTTATGGCCTATTCAAGTAATATTGGTTTCAATACATACCAATAAAGTGTTCTCAGTATATAAGATCTGCCCTTTTAGAAAAGGCCCCTTGGAAAGGCCATTTATCTATTATTTTCTTTTCTTTTGTCAAAATAAAAAGCTACTAAATGATGGACTAGCGAGTGGAAGAATGAAAATTATATTATGCTTTTAATTTGTTTAATAGGCAAAAATCTAAGAGCATGTTTTGCATTTACACCGGAGAAAAATCCAGTTGCCACTGTCTTCAAAGATTACCTAGTTTCTCAACCTGTGGGTAGTGATAAATCCTGGCCTGAATGTAGCTCTTCTATAAATTGCTAATACCCAACAGGTTATTGTTGTGGAAGAGTTTCATGCAGGTTTTTGTTTTTACATTTTTTTTTTTACTGTTTTTGATTATCTCTTATGTCAGTACTCAGCCCTTCAGCTGAAAATGGAAAATGTAAGGCAAAACTTACAACCTATTAAGCAATGGCCAGTAACCTAAAAATTTAGGCTGGATGAAGAAATCCTCCATCCATAAAACTGTTTACAGTTTCTCAGCGTTTAACTTTTCCAAATTTGCAATTTGTGCTTTAAACCCTGGATCACAACACTCATACAATCGGTCTATATCTCTCTTAGTAGCGTCTCATCAAAGTATGTTGCATCTGATTAATGGAATGAGCTGCGTAACACAGCGGGCTAATGCTTCATACCAACAACCAAATATCTACCTTCATTAATGCAGCATAAACAATACATTAAGATCAGTGTTCCTCTTGTGAGTGAGTGTTGAGATTCTTGTGAATTTTTTACACCAGTGACAACTATCTCCATGTTTTGTAAACACTTTTATGAGAGTATTTTAGTAAAAAGATCATGCTGTTATATTTCTGGAAGGGTCAAAACAGAACTGATTCTCAACTAGTAGAGAACACAAATGAGAGGAGCAGCTTCTATGGTAACTGAGAAACCTGCAGAAATTCACAGCTCAGGTGAGAGAATTTGTCAATATGACAGTTTTGCATATTATAATTCTTGCCTTAGTGTACTTAAAAAAAAAAAAGATACAAATGCACGATAAAAAGTCACAGCATCTGCTTCTTTGTGTCTGCTGTTCAGTATAAACCTAGTAAGTAAAGAACACATATAAAGGTAAATGATATGGTCAGATGAGATCAAAATGGATGCAATGTGTGATAAAAAACAACCGTCACTGCATCTGGTATCTTATGCATCTGCATCAGTATGGGCATGATTTTATTCCTGCAGAGAACTCCCAGCTTTAACTATTATTCCAACTCATGCTTTTCCTACGTATTATGTCTTTTATGTGTAAACATAAGAAAAAAACCATAAAGACGGTGTCCAGTTTTTAATTTCAGAGCTACTGTATGTCTTATATGGGAAAATACAAAGATTGCATGAAAACATAGTGAGATAAATTCTGAAAATGTTTAACAGATACTGTATTAAATTTTTTTCTATGCAGCAAGGGTTGTTAAAAATCTGCCCTTGCAGAAAGTTACTAATATTCCACATACTAAAGTCAAATATTGTTTAGACGTCATAAATCCAATGCTTTAAATTGTCCAGTAGGCAAAGGTAGAGGTACAGTGACCGCTTGTCACCCATCATTGTAGTGGCATCATTTTTCAGGATCAGGACCATTTCTCATGTATTTGTTACTTTTTCTTTGATCAATTTTTATGTTATACAAAGGATTTTAGTGTTGGTTAATTAGTGGATAAATGCACGTGAAATCATGATTTGAGATGCTTTATTGTTGTTTTGTTCAGGGCTGAAACAATTAATCAGATTAATCGTGATTAATCGGTTGTTGATAGAATC